AGAAGGGATTCAACTTGACACAAACTAGAGACACCTGGGAACCTCAATTGAGGAACTGCCTCCGTCAGACTGGCCCACAGGCATGTATGCCTGTGGGGCATTTCCTTGATCGTTAACTGATGGGGGAGGGTCTAGCCTACTGTGGACAGTGCCACCCTGGGCAGGCGGGCCTGGTTATATACAGAGGCTTGCTGCGCAGACACAGGGAACAAGCCAGTAAGCATCATTCCCCGTGGTCTCTGTTTCAGTTCCTGCCTCCAGGTTCCTGCCTGAGTTCTTGCCCTGGCTTCCCTCACCTTCACTCAAATCCTCTTCTATTCAATCTGTAACTTCATGTGTCCCTGGAGGCTGCCTAGGAATTGGGGGAGGCACTGAAACGGGGCTCCTGTGTCAGCGGCAAGTGGGGGCCACACTCCTCTTTTATCATCCCCTCCCTGCCCAGCTGTTCTATAGTACCTCCTCTGGGGATGGAAGGCCTTTTCTCCAACTCTCCCTGGGACAGAAGAGAGCAGTGGCTTGCAGGAGTCGGGGGTTCGAATCCCAGCTCTCTGATGCTTTCACATTGTCATTTCACATTCATTTGGCAGAGTACTCACTCTATAGACCAGGCTGGCCTTGAACTCACCGAGATCCGCCTGGCTCTGCCTCCCAAGTGTTGGGATTAAAGGCATGCGCCGCCACCGCCCGGCTTCTTAACTGTCTCCTCATTGCCGTACTGGCTCACGGCATGAGGGGACACAGTCCATCACGGCGGGGAGGTCACAGAAGGAAGCGTTCAGTGCAGCAGGAGACAAAGCACGTGTCCCCAGTCAGGAAGCAGAGAGAGATGAACACCGGTGTTCAATACGCTTTCTCCTTTTTACTCGGCCTGAGACCCCAGCCCATGGGATGGAGACACCCACATTCAGGGTGGACTCCCCATCTTAGTTACGCCTTTCCGGAAATGTCCTCACAGGCATACCCAATGGCATGTCTTCTAGGTAAGGTATTTGTGTTCCAAATACAGCCGTTGCCATGAAGAACGACCGTTACATTCGCTCCCCACGCCCCCCTGTGCAAGTCTAAGACACTGAGGGTGGGGTGAGGCTAGGACCCTCCCGGGAGTGATCACAGAGGACAGAAACAGGTGGGAAGCCAGAGTCAGGACTCTGTGGCCAGGCGGGGTCCTCCCAAGGCCTTCCCTAGGCACTAATGCAGGATACGGGCAGGCTCTTCCCCTTCCTGATAAGCAGTGGGTTTCACGGCCACATAATTCAGAACTGGGGCCCAGATAACCTCAAGATCAAGTCAGACTCTCCAGTCCCCTTCCTCAGTAGAAGCAGCCTGAGCCATGTCTGGGGAAAGAGGTGGGGGTAAGGTAGGGCTTGGGGTCTCAGAGTGGTCTTCTTCACAGGCACTCGGGTACAGCTCCTAGGAAAAGGCTCTTTCTGGAGCCCTCCCTTGCATGAGCAACTGAGGGCCACAGACTCCATTAGTATATGTAGACCAAGAGGTCCCCCCACCCCCGCCGCCCAACTCAACGTCCTCTGTGCCAAGTGACAGAGAACGGGCAGCTCTTGAAAAGACTAATATTTACTCTTCAAACGGGAGCTGGCATGGGCTGTTTCCTGTGGCTGGCGTCTGGTTCACCCGAGGATGGACACAACAGGCAGCGCTCCGGGAGACAAACAGACGTCCTCTCAGATACCAGGATGAGACAAGACAATGCCTGTGATATGGGGACAGCGTGTTCTGAGGTCCGCTTGCACCCAGCCCCTGGGCCTGCACACCTCCAGGACAGTGAGCTCCCGGCCTTTGTGAGGCCTGCTGGACGGTCCCGTGAGAAAGTTCACTCTGACTGGCCCCACGTCCCTTGCCTCTGGCCCTTGTGTGGATCCCTGGGGCCTTGGAAATGCGCCTGGAACAAGCCCCCAGGGCCAGGGTGGTCCCGGTCTGCTTCACCAACCCCCCACCACCCTGGCTTCACTTCCCCAGGCGCACACTCTGGGCTCAGGCTATTTCTGGGGTGGGAGGGAAGGCTGGCTGTGGGGCACCTCTGTCCCCCTGCATCTGTTCCTCAGCTGTTCCTCGTCCTCATGAAGCCTTTCAGCAGCGTGCCTCCTGTGGGAAAGCCTCGGCCAGGAAACTACCTCAGGCGGCCTGGATCTGGGGAGGACAGTCCCTGGGGGGTCAGACTGGTGCCCACTGCTTCTTCTCCCTCTCATTCTGCTCCCACTTTCCCCATCCCCCGTGGGCCCAGAAACACACCCTTACCCCTCCAGCCGCTAGCCTCCGCTCTGGCTCCTCCCTGGTCCCAGAAGCAGCCATGGACCCTCTTTCCATTGTTTTGACACAGGGTTTCATGTAGCTGGCCTTGAACCCCCTATATACCAAGGATTACCTTGAACTTCTGATCCTCCTGCCTCCCATTCCTGAGTGCTGGGACCACAGTCTTGAGCCACCACACCTGGCTTATGTGGTGTTGGGGATTGAACATGAGGCCTCATAAGTACTAGTCATTCTCTCTACCAACTCAGCCACACCCCAGCCCTCCCCATAAGGCAGTGTCTCCCTGTTATTTTAATGTGTGCCCACGGTTCTAACGGTCATCTCTTCTGTTGCTTACTCATGAGCCTTTCAGACCTTGTCTTCAGTTTTTTGTTTTTTATATCAGGGTTGCCATTTCTTGCCCATCCACACAAATTGCTCCTATGCCAATCATTACCGCCTCCAGCTCTGTGACCAAGCCCTCCCATTCTTTCCACTTTTCCCAGGATCTCCTGTCATCAAGCTCTTTTTTAAAATGTGTACCTACTTATTTTCATATCTGTGGGGATTTTCTGTGCATGCATGTTTGTGCACCGCATGCATGCCTGGTGCCTGCAGCGGCCAAAACGCATCAGATTCCCTGGAACTGGGGTTAGAGCCAACTGTGAGCTGCCATGTGAATGCTAGTAACCAAACCCAGGTCCTCTGGAAGAGCAGCCAGTGCCCTGAACTGCTGAACCGTCTCTCCAGCCCCAAACCTGCCAATCTTTTTAATAGTTGTGCCTATGACTTTAAGTAAAGTTCATTCCCCCTCAGATCAGAAGGTCTTCTCTTTGGTGCTCAGCAAACTCCACACACTTTGCCTTGTCCGTCCATCTGACCCTCCGTCCGAGACCTGGTTCACAGCTCTGCCAGGCCCTTCTCCTTAGTCTTTCCTCCTCTGGTGCTGGGCAAGCATGGTTGGCAGCTGTAATCAGGCCCCCTGCAAGGGTAGGACTCAAGGGAAAGGCAGAGACTCATCAGCCCAACCTCCCCCCCAGTCCTCCTGGCACAGAAGAAGCATCTCCACGGTCCAAGGCTGCTATTACTTTTGAGTACTACCAGATGGGGACAGCCCTCCCTTTCCAGGCCAGGGGACAGATCCTTGGGATGTTCTCTGACTGGCTCTCTAGACCAGGGCTCAGCTTCCACACCTGAGCAACAGGACTTGTCTACTTTCAAATACCAAAATCCAGCAACTCAAATGCATATTTTGGAAAGTGGCTTGGCTTCCAATGTCCGGGACTCAGGACAAAGGAGGGATGCTGGGAACACACACTCCTAATGGCTCCTCGAAAGAGGCTGCGCCAAACCCCTTCCTGGGTAATTTGTTCCAAAGCAGCGGCTGACAAAGGAGAGTGTCCCCAAGTTGGGAGGAGGCGATGTGGCCGGCTGCTGCGCCTCCTGGTGGCCACTCACAGAAGCCCAGAGCTCTGAGGGGCCTGTGGGACACAGCAGGGTGGAGTTCCAGAACCTGCAGGCTGCCCAGCCCATAGAGCAGTTCTACCCCTGCTACTTGGGTAGAGACCTGTACTGAAGTCCTCAGACCTGTTCAGACCAGATGTCGCTTCTCCCACCTGCGAGGCGGCTCACAGACCACCTCAGACCAGTAAGATAGACCCCGATTCAGAACTGCTCGCACACACACACACACACACACACACACACACACACATTGGTTAAACACTTTAGATTTATTCTCCACACAATTCTGAAGCCACCTCATGTCGTTTTAATATACACGGTATATAAACAGCTGTACAACATCAGTACATTGTCACAAGTTTCAGTTTACCAGTATGTGAAAGTTAAAATGTGCCCATCATGTACTCAAAATAGATCTTTGTTATCAATTGAAAGTAGCTTATAATATGGGCACCAAACCCTGGGGATGAGTATGTGGAATAAATGGTTTTGCCTAAATTAGCCTCAATTTTTTATGTTCTTAGAAAAACCCACTAAGCCAAATCAAATCCTAGGGGGCTGAGTCATACAAAGTATTCATTAGATAACGTTTCTGAAGCAATTAAGGATCATATCAACGATAAGGGTTAAAGGTTACACACAGCGCAGCAGACCTGGGTCAAAGGGAAAGAA